GTATTCCCTTTTCTGAAGTTTCTTTACTTATAAGTTTTGGATGGGAGGGGGCAGAGTTGGGGGGAAAGCAGGACCCAGCTCCCTGGTCAGTGGCATATCTGATGCCACGACTGATTCTTCCTGTGCATTTCAGCCGTTTCCATGCAATAAAGTCCTTGCTGTTTGCACCCCTCTCTGCGGAGGGGGACGCCCTCTGTGAATATCCACTCTCTGCCCAGCACCTCTGCCGCCACCCGAGCTAACTGAGCCCTGACAGAAACGCAGCTGTACGAGGAAAACGACGGGCAAGTAACTTGTGAGATCTCTGTCAGACAAACATGATTTCCTGTTTTCTTGAAGGTTGTTAGGGCAAAGCGTTGTTTTTCTAATGGCCTTATGATTCCAAACATTCATCGTGCCACATGCTCTCAATGCTTGAGCCTTATATAATTCTAACTCCGCACGTGGCCGCTCAGTGTGGGGTTTCTCCTAGTGGCAATGACCTAGGGCCATGGTCAGGAAACTCATTAGTCAACAGAGCCAAATATCAACAGTACAACGATTGAAATTTCTTTTGAGCCAAATTTTTTAAACTTAAACTATATAGGTAGGTACATTGTTATTAACTTAATTAGGGTACTCCTAAGGCTTAGGACAGTGATGGCGAACCTTTTGAGCTCAGCGTGTCAGCATTTTGAAAACCCCTAACTTAACTCTGGTGCCGTTTCACATATAGAACTTTTTTGATATTTGCAACCATAGTAAAACAAAGACTTATATTTTTGATATCAATAGCACTGTACTTGCGCACCTGCACATGGTATTTTGTGGAAGAGCCACACTCAAGGGTCCAAAGAGCCGCATGTGGCTCGCGAGCCGCGGTTTGTCGAGCCGCAGTTTGCCGACCACTGATAGGGTCTATGAAAGGCTGAGAAGAAAAGCATCTGGGCTGGGAGCAGGCGTATTTACAAAGGCAGGGAGGTGCGATTGCTGGCCAGGAGAATGGCACGGACACAGGGTCATCTGCAGGCAGGGCTTCTCGCAAAGAGAGAAGCTGAATGTATTCAGTCCCCAGACTTGCAGAGAAGGGCAGATGGTCACACCTGGCCACGCACAAGCATACATGCCTTCAAAAGCACCCCTTTTTTCGATCAGAATTTATATGGCACACAGGTGACTACGTCCTACAAACCCAAAAAGAATTCTGCATGTTATAGCATGAGACTGCTTTCCTTTTTGTACTAAATGGTCACCATGCAATATATATTTTAAAAAGGATGAGCTACATCTATGTTTACATCAATGAGAATATAATTAATAAAACTCCTAATGGGCCTAGTGGTTACAGTGCTATTTGTAAAATTTTACTGGTAGGCCACTTTTGGAAAATAACAACATGAAGTTAAAATGGGAAAAAGAAATGATTTTAAAAGATTCAAAGTTACTTTTTTTAAAGAGGGAAATAGACTAATTTAATAGTTTACATCTTCTGTACATGTAAACATTTATGATTATATAAAGATAGTAATGACATACACACACGCATATTAAAGCCTGAATTTCGTACAGATATATAGCTTGAGAAGGAGCATTTTAAAACAGAAGAAAATATAAGTCTATCCCACCATATATGTGATAGATAAAAATCCAAATATCATCCCATCCATCAGGTGTAAGTTATGAAATAACTTAGGAAACCTGTTTCCTCAGTAACCCATGACTTACATCAAAGTAGGATCCTGCGTGCTCTAATATCAGCTGAGTGGAGTCAGGCTTATTTTTGCAGTAAGTGACGTACATCTGAAACTTGTCTGCCTATAAACAAAAAGCATGAGAACATCACTTTCGAACGGCAGTAAGTCAAAATATGATCAACTTTTATATAGAAAAGAAGCGATGTGGACAAAGGCTATTTAAGGCCCAAATTAAAGAAACCCTATGTTATAAATAAGTCTACTAAACTGAGAAATACACCTCCAGCAGCCTCCCCTGACCCAGCACGCTGGGGTTTGGCACGTGCTCTCTTCCCCTACAACGGCGTGTGGAAAGCCGGGCAGTGCACTTAGACGGCACGATCACAGGTCACGTGTCTGCCCACTCTGGACGGGGAGACCCCCCACCCCGACCCTGGCAGGGCTGGACACTCATGTTTAGCTGGGAATCCCCGGGGCCATGCAGAGGTCTGGCACACTAAATGGTCTCTTTTAAATCACTACTACTGCTAATAATAAGCTCATTCTACATCAGTAACTAGCTGGGGAATGTAATTCTCTGAGACAAAGCCCATTTCTCTGTCTGCAGATTCCAGTAGAGTACGGTGACAGAAAAGAAATGGACAATGTTCCTCCTAACTCCCTTCAAAGCCACCTAGTAACTGTGAACAAGAAGCTGAGGTTTCATTACCCAAGTAACAAAGCAATGCCCCACGTCCTCCGGCAACTGCTCGTATTTTTCCAGCTCCTTCAGGAATATGCTGCAGAGAATGAAAACGTTATCCTACTATGATGATGTTTTAAAACATTTCAGTAGTGAAATATGCCAGAAATTAGACCAAGCATACCGTGGCCTCAGGCAATGCCTGAGTTTCATCATTTTAATCAAATGCAGTGAAAAATCTGTGCCCTCTAGATTCTGAGATTTAGCAGAATGTGCAGCTCTTAACTAGGGTCAGTTACTGTGACATTCACCTCACTGGTTTAGCATTTAAACACTTTCTAATAGAAACTTTAACCTAGCAGCTCACTTTCGGGAAAGTGCTGTTTAGTAGTAAGAGACATAATGTAGGGATGGAAATATTCAATTAGAAGAACCCCTTTACCCTGGCCCGTGTGGCTCAATGGTTGAGCATCGACCCATTCACTAGGAGGTCGCGGTTCAATTCCTGGTCAGGGCACATGCCCGGTTGTGGGCTCCATCCCTAGTAGGGGCCGTACAGGAGGCAGCCAATTGATGTTTCTCTACTTTTTTTATAAATATATTTTTATTAATTTCAGGGAGGAAGGGAAAGGGAGAGAGAAACATCAATGATGAGAATCACTGACCAGTTGCCTCCTGCATGCCCCATACTGGCAAGCCTGCAACTCTGGCATGTGCCCCAACTGGGAATCGAACCGTGACCTCCTGGTTGATAGGTCGATGCTCAACCATGAACCACGCTGGCTGGGTGAGGTTACACTACTTTTAAAAAATTCTTAGAAATGAACCTGTGTCCTCCTCTGACCAGTGGAAAGTGCATCTCATTCTGGACAGACTGCATATCTGTTCCGTCCCCCATTCCCACTTCCTTCTTATCCAAAAAGACCGAACATTGCCCTAGCCAGTTTTTCTCAGTGCTTAGAGCCTCCACCTGCGGACTGAAGGGTCTCAGATTTGATTCTGGTCAAGGGCACGTGCCTCTACCTCTACTAATCAATGTCCCTCTCTCTCTCTGTCTCTCCCCGTCCCTTCCAGTCTCTCTAAAAACCAATGGAAAAATATCCTTGGGTGAGGGTTAATAAATAAATAAATAAATAAAAAGATTGAACATCGCTTGTAATTGGAAACCTCTTCTTTCTTTTAACCCTAAGAAGTAACTTATGCAGCAGCCAATGACACAGCTCGAGAGGAGTTAGGGTCTCATGAAAACAGTTTTCACAGTTTTCCGCACCTCATTTCTACCAACAGTGAGCACAAATATAAAGTTGAGCCTGTATTAAAATTGTGTTTAGAATGTC